CCCCAAAACCCCAAAACCCCAAAACCCCAAAACCCCTGCTAAAAATTTGATTATTGATAATATCTGAATAAAGATGTCTGAAAAGCTGATAAAACTTAAGTTGGAATCTCCAAAATTCCAGGATATTCATAACTCTGCTGAATGGACTCCTGAACTAGATGAAGTATTGAAGAAGAGTGTGGTCACGCATTGTTTTAATTTTAACCTAGTCTCTTTGGAGATTAATGATGAGGCCGATCGTCTCGGTGTTAGATTTGGAATCGCCAATGCTTATACAAACGAGAAGTGTAGAATTAGATGGTTCTACCTCCATTGTACCAGATCACTTGAACAGAAGAAAGAGGAAGAATCTCAAAGAAAACCAAGTAAAAAGATTTTAAAGCCACAAGATGATAATTTACCTTCAAACAGCAACGGCAGAATTCCGGGAAAGAAGTTTGAAGAGGATAAAAAGGCACCAGTCAATAATTATATCAAGTTCAAGCCTACTGTTTCAATCACTCCAAAGAAGAGGCCTCCAGTTGAAATCAAAGAAGAAGCTGTTCCATTAGATCCTCCAAAATCAAATTCAAAAATTTCACAAAATGCTGCCCCAAAGCTAGAAGAGACTAAACTTGAGGAGACTAAAAATGATGAACCCGAGGTGCCAGAAAAAGCAAAGGATGCTCGCAAATTATGGGAAGAAAAGGAGATAAGAGAGGACAAGAAGGAAAGCAAGACTTATGCTGAAGCTGAGCAGTACCAGTGGCGGCAAAATATTATTCAAACCAGGGCTCACAAAGATTACCTTGATATATCAAATGAAAATTTTTCAAATTATAAAACTATCGATGTTCAGGGAAATGAAATCACTCCTTCAACCTTTAACATATTCAGAGATAGCTTCAAGCAGACTTTCACAGAGATCAGGGATACCTTGAAGAGTAACCTGCCAGATCTTAACCTTGAAGATGTCTCAGAGTCAGATGAGAACGAAGATGTTGTTCCTCTCGATTTCAGGACCAAACTTATGGGCAGAGAAGGAGATGTAGTGATGCAAGCAAAACCTCTCAAAATTTATCAAAGTGATGAAGACGATGGTGAACTAATAGGCGATATCCTTAAAAAAAGCAAGCATAATCAAGAAAGGGAATTCTTGAATATGACAACTGAGGATTTCCTGAGGGAGCATAAAAATGATTCATTCGATGAAAATGATGAGAGTGTAGTACTTATTAACCCAAATACAAATATTAAAGAAAAATTGAATGAAATTGACCTTGAATGAAACAAAAGTAGCTATATGAATAATGCTCTTGATGCTCCAAAGGCAAAGATAAGGCCTCCAAAAGTAGCTAAGAAGTTTAGACAGGACGATGAAGATCTTGAGAACATGAAGAAATTGAACAAGATCAGTAGGGTAAAGAAGAAAACTGTGACAATCAACGAGAATCCTACTGAGTTTTTGTATAGCCATGATCCTGAAGTGTATCAACCACCTTCAAAAAATGATGATCAATTGTTGGATTTTGATAATATACTCAAAAGTCAGGGAATCAATCTGGATACGTTCTTGAAAGATAATGAGGAAAGAACTAATAAAGATAAACCAGTGTTCGATGAGAACAATATTATGGAACTACTCATGATGGGAGGGATAGCTCCAGAAGAAAAGAAAGAAGAAATTAAGCAAGAGCTTTATGAGAGCAATACATCTGAAAATGAAACTGCCCCAATGGGAGCAATGCTTGACGATGTTGAACCTGAGGAAGAAGAAGAGCAAAAATTGAATAATCAGCAAAAGAGAGAACTCGCCTTCAAGAAAAGTCTGGTTGATGCTTCTTCTGCAAGTGAGGATGAAAGAGGCTTTCAGAACAGTAAAAGACCTGGTATTTCTTCTGATGAAGAAGTTATTGATACAACTTCAAGGAAAGATAAAATAGAGAGTATGCTCAGTGGACAAGCCTACAGACCTCCCCAGACTAGTGTATTAAGCGGACAAGCTTATAGACCTCCACAAACTAGTATATTAAGTGGGCAAGGTATCAGACCCCCAACAGATTACTCAAAGGCAAGAGTAAAATCAAGTGGTACTGGAGAAGATCCAGTTGGAGATGACCCAACACTAAATACAACAGATCTAGTTCTTCCATTCCCTGAACTTCCTAAAGCTGAGGTAATTACAAAGAGAAGTGAGGTATCTTCATCTCTCACTCCTGATAGTCTCTTGTTCAAGCCTAACGAGGAAAGAGATATTCCAGTAGATTCTTACCGTCAGAGGCCTGCTACTTCTGGTGCCTCAAAGATTAACTACAGAGGAGTTTGGATCGAATCCGGCCAAGATAATGAAGAAGAACCTAAAGACACTGAAGACGAAGATAGACATTTCTTTAATCAGCAAAGAGAATTGATGAAGCAAAAGTTAAAGAAAACCAAAAATACCGATTTTGGGGATGTGGACAAATTCAAGATGCAGAATGTGGGTGTTGAAGTAGTTGGTGATGAAAGGCTAATCAAAGTCCAAAGAGACTGGGACAACTAATTCATATCGTAATCTTACTGGGTGAATAGATTTTCAGGGATTTCAATCATCATTAGTATTAAGGGGTTTTGGGGTTTTGGGGTTTTGGGGTTTTGGGG